CTGGAGTGGGGCTTGGGAGCGAGCTCCCATAGAAAAGAAAAAACCCGCCAACACTCTCCGTCACTTCAAAGAAATTTATACTCACCGTTGATTCTAGGACAGAACTGAGCGATCAAAGATCACCGACCACTCAGTTCTTACCCTTCAGTGAGTGGAGAGCCAATGACCGTCAGTCATTGGCTCTCTTCTCTGCCCCTCCAGCACTCACTGGAGCGCCTGCTTGAAAGGAGTGGGAGGCTCAGGTTCTCGTGCCAAGTGGCTGAGCTAGCTGTCTGTCCAGGCATCTGTGGATCCTAATTTTAAAAGGCGTGATCTTTCTAGAAACTGGACCGGCTGAGTGGTATTAGCTGACGGCAGGCTTTAGCCCACTGTTGGCTGAAAACAGGTCACAGGAGTAGAGACCAAACTGCACTCTGGTGATCCATACAGCTTTGGCCCTACTTCTTTAAGTACTTTTCAAAGGGCTTACCTGAATCTAGAATGCAGTTCATGTGTTTTGACTTGGCCAGACTTTCTAATCTGTATGTTTGTTCCATGGCAGGGACAAAGTATCACCTTTCACTGGAGCCGGTGCATCAGTTACACTGGCATGTAAACAAATTCCTGACCCCCACAGCAGTCAGAGCTGTGTCTTTACATTTTTCACTCTTGGTCATCAGTTTCATAGAAGATTTGGATGGCTGTAAAGACACCCAAGTCCTTCAACATGTAAAAAAAAATAAAAAAAAAAAAAAAAAAAGGGACGACCCCACACAGCCTGGATGGATGTCAGCAGGGACAGTGGCAGAAGATCCATTTGCCGTTTTACCCTGGGTAGTAGGAACACAAAAGCTCTAACTGCTTAAAGGTTTAGGCAGCAGGTTCACTAGTATTTTTGGTAAGGTCAGCCAAGGCAGCCCCCGTATGAAAGTGCAAGTGCACACTCTTAGGTTTAAATTTGAGGGTATGTACATCCAAATTGGAGGAAGGCTTTAGGTAATACAGCTCTTAAGAGTAGCCACCCCCCTTTTTTCAAGGGAAGAAAAGTAATTGGACAATTGAATCAAAAGCTGTTTCATGACCAGGTGTGGACTACTCCATTATTTCTTCATCAATTAAGCAGGTAAAAGGTCTGGAGTGGATTCTAAATGTGGTATTTGCATTTGGAATCTATTGCTGTGAACCTACATCATGTAGTCAAAGAAGCTGTTCTTGCAAGTGAAACAGGCCATTGTAAGGCTTCAAAAACTATACAAATCCATCAGAGAGATAGCAGCAACATTGGGAGGCCAAATCAACAGGTACATTCTTGGTACCTTCTGAGGAAAGAACGCACTGGTGAGCTCAGCAACATAAAAAGGCATGGACGTCCACGAAAGCCAACAGTGGTGGATGATCGCAGGATCCTCTCTACGGTAAAGAAAAACCCATTCACAACATCCACACAAGTGAAGGATACTCACTAGGAGGTGGCGTATTATTGTCAGTCTACAATCAAGAATAGACTTCACAAGAGCAAATACAGAGGGTTCACCACAAGGTGCAAACCATTTGTAAGCCTGAATAGAAAAGTCAGATTAGACTTTGCCAAAAACATCTAAAAAAAAAAAAAAAAAAAGCCAGACCAGTTCTGGAAAAGCATTCTTTGGATGGATGAAACCAAGATTAATCTGTACCAGAATGACAGGAAAAAAAAAAAAAAAAAAAAAAAAAAAAGTGTGGAGAAGGCTTGGCACAGCTCATGATCCAAAGCACACAATGTCATCTGTAAAACATGGTGGAGGCAGTGTGATGACCTGGGCATGCATGGCTTCCAGTGGCACTGGGTCATTGGTGTTTATTGATGATGTGACAGAAGCCGGATTAATTCTGCGGTGTTTAGAGAGATACTGTCAGCCCAGATTTCAGCCAAATGCAGCAAAGTTGATTGGACGGAGCTTCACAGTACAGATGGACAATGATCCAAAACACACTGCAAAAGCAACCCAGGAGCTTTTGAAGGAAAAAAGTGGTGGAATATTCTGCAATGGCCAAGTCAGTCACCTGATCTCAGCCCAATTGAGCATGCACTTTACTTGCTGAAGGCAAAACTAAAAAAAAGCAGAAAGAGCCACAAACAACTGAAGACAGGTGCAGTTAGAGCCTGGCAAAGCATCAGAAAGGAGGAAACCCAGTCTTTGATAATGTCCATGGGTTACAGACTCCAGGCAGTCATTGCCAGTAAAGGATTCTCAACAAAAATATTACAAATGAACATTTTATTTATGATTAGATTCAATTGTCCAATTACTTTTGTTCCCTTGAAAAAAGGGGGGGGGGGGGGGGGGGGATAGCTACTCTTAAGAGCTATAGTTCCTAAACCCTTCCTCCAATTTGGATGTACATACCCTCAAAATAAACCTGTGTGCACTTTCAGCCCAAATCCATTATATAACTATAGCTTGAATATATTTTGGTAAATACCTGAAAAAAAACAAAATTGTGCCTGTGTCCAAATATAGACGGACCTGTGTGTAATATATCTGTGTGTGTAGTCTAATAATTTTACCTTTCAATCTACTCTACGTCAGGCTTTTTAACAACCAAATCAGAACTCCTCAGCAGATGACTTATGCTTAGTTTAGGATTTTTGCAGATCAAGCTATCCACTAAGTACCTCCTGGTACCTGCTCTATTTCTTGCTTACATGGCTGTGCAGAGGTAAAATTATGAACATTTAAAAAAAAAAAAAAAGATCCCTTGGCTGGCAGGCCCTTCAAATGCAAGTTAAAGGCCCCATAACTGCCTTAAAAATGGTATGCATGCCTACAGTGGAAAACCACCACAAAGCAAGCATATTAAAGCAGATCTCCACCCAAAAGGGGAAGTTCCGCTTTAAGGATTGGCACCTTTGGGGAGCGGGCAATGGAAGGTGTCCTCCCTCCCTCTAGTCTTTTTGGGACACGACAGGTCCCAGAAGACTACAGGACCATTCATGAAGCGCTACTCATGCATGTGCAGTGGGTACCCGGCTGTGAAGCCGCAAGCTATCACAGCCGGGTGCCCACACTGAAGGTGCCGGCCTCCTGGAATACAGGACAGCCGGTGAAACGAGCTGCGAGGGACACCACAGGACCAAGGGACAGGTAAGTGGCTGGTTTTTTTTTTTTTTTTAAAAGTCAGCAGCTAGTTTTCGATAAAGCGGAGTTCCACTAGACCTAAGAAAAAAAAAAAAAAAACCCACACATGCTTAGCCATGTGGTCTTCAACATCCAGAGAAATGTTGACTGATCAGGTATAAAAGCTATCCACTGGCTTGCTCGGCCTGGCTAGCAGCTTTCCAAACGGTCATGAGAGAACATGAGCAGTGCCATGTAACAGCCATTACCAGGCAGATAAGCATTTGGTCCCTTATATTTTTATTAAGTAACAACCTCAACGTTGACTATTTCCAGTTCAGCAGAGGACAATTAGAAGATTTTTATGATGTAGAACTTTTACATTATTTTATACTACTTTGGAGCGGGAAAACAGCAGTAGTTCTCACTGCTATTCCAAAACAATATAAGTAGTATGTTGAAATTACCTGTGCTCAGTATCTACTGATGAAAAAGCTCAAAATCCATCCAGTATAGGATACTTGGAGGGTTTTCCCCCCCTCTTCTCAACAAGCTGGTATTTTACTCTCCTGAAAATTAAATTTTACATTTACACTTGTCCAAAACAAACTGGCTATCCATGTTAAAACCATGTTGGAATGGTATGCTAAAATAACTGAGGCAGGTTTACAGATACACGCCAGTTTTTATTAGAAAACATACATGGGACAGAAGCCTCAAGCTGGTATAGAATGTAAACATTCAACTTAGCTAAACAAAATCGTACAAGGGCATTTGGCCACTTGTAAGTGGCAAGTTATTTTGCCTTGGCAGGTAATGTCATTTTAGGTAGAGAAATGACCACAAAGTAAAACACTAAACTATGATATACTTCTTCAATTACATTACTGAATCATTTTAGCTACAGCAACAAAATTAGATACTACCATGATCTGAATTATAGTACAAAATGGAAATGTGAGGTTCTCATTCTATGATGCCTTGTGCCGAGTCAAACAGCCAGCTTAATGGGATAGATCGGAAGTTTAAGGCTAGAGAAGCCTTGTGCCAAGAATGTTGGATGGGGAGACTGGGCACCTCCAGGTCTGAATGTGCTTGGACCAAACATAACCAACTGCATTCTCAATGTTAAAACCAAGCAAGTTTTTCAAGGCCTGATCGCCCTTCACATCTATTTTACTTGTATCATAATGGCATCCAGACTAGATTTGTTTTATTTATTAGCTAGAGACAGGGACATTCGGTAACACCACCTTTTGTTCACATTCTGTCAATAACAAGCTTGTACCTATAAAGGGTTCCAGGTACACCACTATGGTTTTCTAAAATCTGACACTAGCTCATCAAAAATAGTAAAGAAAGTTTATTTTTGTTGAGCAATACATTGAACCCTGATAAGCAGGGGTTGCTAGACTACACAAAAAAACGGTTTAAAAGTTAAAAATTCCTTAATTCTTTATTCCTGGTATCACTAGAACAAAGGATAGGGCAATATACCTGACATCATGGGGAAATGGGAGACAAACTACAACAGATATAAAGACCTCAGGAATGTACATCTAAATCAACACTACATTGCATTAATCATCAGCTGCACTGATGGGGGAAAAAAAAAAAAAAAAAACAAAAAAAACTGTGGCTATTCCAGTCCTTAACAAGAAATGCCTCCTGTATAAGCTGCGGTAACTTTTCTGACTATGGATCCTCGCTGCTCCTGTAGTAGATTTTACAGTTCCTCTAATGCACATGGACGACTGTCTCAAAGTAACCTGCAGCTTTCCTGACAAATCCTCGCTCTCTTGCTAAGAACTGTAGCCTGTTGAATGATACAGGACAAGAAGATTATTACTCAAGTGATCTGTCAGACAGATTGAATCATCATCACAAAACATATCCAATAGGTTACCTGTATCTACTGCAGACTCAAAACCTTCTGCTTCCATAGCCGCCGCCGCCACCACCACCTCCTCCACCACCACCAGATCCATAACCACCTGTAAAAATAAGTACAGCCAGTTAACCATACAACCCTTTTAATATGGCAGTAGAATGACCATAGTGGCTCATTTACACCTGTGTATTGTAAAAATGCACATATTTGACACGTTTTCTGTATATGCAGGTCAGAGGTAAGCTTTTGTTTTAGATAGTAGATTGGGGTGAAAGCCAGGGGTAATTTTTCAAGCAATTCCTGTTCAAAGTACTACCAAAAATGCTTTAGGTCTTATGTCGTCAAGCTACACGCTTGTGGCGAGGGCATCAGTTTGAGGCACTGCCGAGATTATTCAGAATTTGACCTGCTTCAAGCGGGGTTTGCATTTCCACAGACCTTTATATGACTAAATTTCAAACGAAAGCCAAACCAATTCAGGCTCTTAAAACATTATAGGTGTTGCTCTTCTGCACTTTCAATGACATTAGTATTTAAAACCGCAACTGCAAGCTATCCATCTAGGTGTACACACCAATGAAAATGACCAGAAATAAATGTATGCCTAAAAAAGCCTCCAAACTTATGACAGAACACAGGTGTGAATAGGGCTCTGCACAGTTACACCACTCACCACCATAGGGGCCGCCTCCACTTCCAGAGCTCCTTCCACTGAAGCTGCCACCTCCCTTCATGGGTCCATAATTGGACTGCTGTTGACCCCCATAATTTCCAAAGTCATTGTAGCTCCCTACAACAGGATAAGATATACAATTAAAATGGTTCTAAGTGTTTCAGGGAGGAATGATTCAGAAGGATTTTCACTAGAAGGCAAGTATTAATTCACTAGTGCAATATTCCAATATGTGTCTTAAGTCAAAACAAGCATAACTGATCGCTCACCATGCAAAACTTTCTTAAAAGAAAAAAAAAAAAAAAAGGTTTTTATTTTCCCATGCAGTGGGGCTGTGCCCGCACTGCATGGGTTAAATCAGGGGTCCTCAAACTACGGCCCGCCGGCAGGGGCGTATTTTCTGTGAGGAAGGGACATTAAGTACAGGGGTGGGCAGGGGGCTGCTGTACCTTACCTGGCTCCGGTCCCAGTCCCACGACGATCCAGTCCAGGAAGCACTGCTCCTTCATTCACTCCGGCCACTCCCTCACTCCTGCCGCTCAGCTCCGCCTCCTCACCAGTGATTGGGTGCCAGAACTGTAGCTCAGGAAAAGCACACAGGCGGCCTCCCCCCACAGACACCGATGATGGGGCACGATTCTTCCCACAGACACCGATGATGGGGCACGATTCCTCCCACAGACACCGATGATGGGGCACGATTCCTCCCACAGACACCGATGATGGGGCACGATTCCTCCCACAGACACCGATGATGGGCACGATTCCTCCCACTGACACCGATGATGGGGCACGATTCCTCCCACTGACACCGATGATGGGGCACGATTACCCCCCCCCCCCCACAGACACCACCAGTGGGGCACGATTCCTCCCCCCCACAGACACCGATGATAGGGCACGATTCCTCCCCCCACAGACACCGATGATGGGGCACGATTCCTCCCCCCACAGACACCGATGATGGGGCACGATTTCCCCCCTGATGGGGCACGATTCCTCCCCCCACTGACCGATGATGGGGCACGATTCCTCCCCCCACTGACACCGATGATGGGGCACGATTCCTCCCCCCACTGACACCGATGATGGGGGCACGATGATGGGGCACGATTCCTCCCCCCACTGACACCGATGATGGGGCACGATTCCTCCCCCCACTGACACCGATGATGGGGCACGATTCCTCCCCCCACTGACACCGATGATGGGGCACGATTCCTCACTGACACCGATGATGGGGCACGATTCCTCCCACTGACACCGATGATGGGGCACGATTCCTCCCACTGACACCGATGATGGGGCACTATTCCTCCCACTGACACCGATGATGGGGCACTATTCCTCCCACTGACACCAATGATGGGGCACTATTTCGCTCCATAAGACACACTTGGGGGGAAATGTCTGTGTGTCTTATGGAGCAGCCGGCCCAGTATTCCCACCGCCGTTGTATGTCCGCAGTCTCTGGTCATCTACTGTACGGTGTCCGCATTTGTTCATAGGTTTTTTTTTTTTTTTTTTAAACTATAGTCCGGCCCTCCAACGGTCTGAAGGACAGTGAACTGGCCCCCCGTTTAAAAAGTTTGGGGACCCCTGGGTTAAATGCTCATTTTTGTCTAGTGGCTCTGAAAGTAAAGATATACACACCTAATCTGCTGCTCCTCCGAGCGCAAGACCAGTCTCCGCTGCTCCTGCCACCGCACGCTAGTGGTCTTGTGAATGGGCTGTTCCCGACAGCATCACACACACAGACTGGCTCTGGACGTGAAGACAGCAGGAACAGTCTACCCCTGGACATGGGGGAACACGGTTTTCCAGAGGATCGGGAGGACAGGGCAAGTACAGCTCATCCCTGAGCCCCTAGACAAAAACAAGCACTTAACCCATGCAGTGCAGGCACAGTCCCACTGCTTGGGAAAATTAGAGGAGGAAAAACCTCTTACAAGTTATGCATTCACATTTACCCATTTTTAAAGACCATGTAAGCATAGAAAAATAGCCATTGCTCCTTGCAAAAATCAGTTTCCTCGCAAATTCCTATTGTGGGCTGACAAACTGTGCCTTACGTGGAATGAAATTGCAAGGAATGCTGTCAGCCCTGCCTGTTTACCAAATGACAACAGCTCCCAATCTTGACAGTGGGGATTGGTGTGGTTTTGTTCAAGGGATGAACTGGAAAGGCTGATTAGACTGACATACAAGAGTGAACAGGGCAGCTCTGAATTCATAAGATCAAAAAGGCATTGCTTTTGCTCCAGAATTTTTACAAAGGTTTAAACAAACTAAATATTGACCACAGTGCTTTGTGGCTGTTACAAGTTCACTAATTTGCATGTTATGAATGCATTTCACAGTCATTAACAGTCAAGTATTTACCACTATTCAGGATAAAAGTTACTTACCACCAAAGTTCCTCCTCCTTCGCTGTAGCCATCATATCCACCACCACTACTGCTGCCATATCCGCCACCTTGGTTTCCATAACCTGGGCTACTTCCATAACCCCTGCCACCATAACCGGGGCCACCACCATAGTTGCCAGGCCCTAGGTTATAAAAAACCATTCAAAAACAGTTTAAAAAACATAGTAAAAACATGGGATTATATCATTAGGATCTGAAAAACTGCACCTTTTTACAAGGCTAAAAAGCCTCCCTCCCCAGAAGACTAGGGAAAGGCTCCCTAGGAGCGGGGAGATGGGGGAAGGAAAAAAGAAAAGGAAGCCTACTGGCAAAACAAAAACGTACCATCTCCGCCAAAGCCATTGTATCCATCTCCTCCACCATAGCCACCTCTACTACCACCATAGCCACCTGGAAAGAGGACGGATAAATGTATTAGAACACTCCAAGATTGAGAAGCCCCTTCTATGTTCTGCCCTTCAATAGCTAGCATACCAGGTACAAACATAAAACACTGCATTCATTGCTGCACCACAAACATAGGTCCTTAGATCAGAAAAGAATGGTAGCTGCCAGACCCAACCCAGAAAAAGTATACTTAGACCTATAGTAATGCAGTGGTATCCAGATAATACCACAAACAGTATATGCATCAAACTATAGAATGGAAAGTACCACCTTGTGAGATCTCAATAAGGAGGTGGGGGGGATGGAAACCAAAAAAAAACAAAAAAAAAACACACAACACGCATTATACCTCTGTTCCCAAAGCTGCTGCCACCACCACCACCACCACCACCGCTGCCACCTCTTCCAAAGCTTCCTCCACTGCTTCCATAATTTCCTCCTCTACCCACGAAGTTGCTTCCACCTCCTCCACGTCCTAAAATTATGAAAGAAAGCATTAAAAAAACAACATTCCTAAGGAAACAAATTCTGCGCCACCATTGTTCAAGCACTGTACCTCTTTGGGTGGTGGCGGTTTGCATCTCTTGCTTAGACAGGGCTTTTTTAACCTCACAGTTATGATTGTTGATTGTGTGATATTTCTGAACTAAAAAGAGAAAAAGGGTGTTAGCAAAAAGGTGTACAAAAATATACCAAGACTACGCAGATTTACTGACTGTGGAACCAGCTTTCAAGGTTTTGAGGCTAGCTGTTTACGTACAAGGCTTCTCAGCCATCTCTGCTTATAACCCAATAGATGAATACAGAGATTCAAAAAAAAAAAAATACGGAACCTCCCAGCTGCTACTTAATCCAAATCTCTTACTGGAGAAGAAAGTGGTATCTGATAGGTGCTGAATAAAATTTCAAGTTTATAGAAGACATAACCTGTAAAAGCAAGACCTATAAGTAAAACAGGTCAAGCTTTCCTCAAAAGCTAAAAGAATTAAAACAGCTATGTACACAGTTGGTCAAGTTCACGAACATCGGGTTCAGAGGAAAAAACTTGATGAAACTCTACTCACCAACAATTTTATCGACTGTGTCATGATCATCAAAAGTGACAAAAGCAAATCCCCTTTTCTTTCCAGACTGACGATCTTCCATCACCTCAATGGTTTCAATCTTGCCATAGTTCTCAAAATAGTCTCTCAAATGGTATTCTTCTGTGTCTTCTTTAATGCCACCAACAAATATTTTTTTCACAGTAAGATGAGCACCAGGCTTGACCGAATCCTGTATTTAACAATATAGATAAGGCTCTTCCCTACTAAAGTTGGGGACTGGACACAAAACAAAAAAAAAAAACAAAAAAACCCACATACAAAATCACACACCTCTCTGGAAACTGCTCTTTTAGGCTCAACAACACGACCATCAACTTTATGTGGACGAGCAGACATTGCAGCATCAACCTCTTCCACACAGGAATATGTCACAAAGCCAAAGCCCCTGGAGCGTTTTGTTTGTGGATCTCTCATAACCTGAAAGTAGTAAAGCATTCTATTAAATACATCTGCGAATAAAATTGGCATAGATCACCTACAATGTGATGCAGGGTACAGATGCAATTATAAACAAAACATGGCAGCATGGGACCGAGCGCTGTCAGGAGAGGATCTCACCAGGACAATGCTGGATCTGCTGGGTGAGTATCTAAGTGCAGACCACAACCGGGTAAGCACTAAAATTCACACACAAAAAAAAAAAAAAAAAAAAAAAAACCCTAACAATTTACAACATCAAGCAAATTAATGAAATTTACAAAAAAAAAAAAAAAAAAAACAGTAGTATAGGTGATGAATATTACCCTAGATTTCTCAGAATGCTAGCCACTCAGAACTTGGGAATTGCTCGAGTACAAACAGGCTAAAAAGAACAAGGAGACCCAGGGTACAGAGATACTAGCAAACACAGGATTTTCAGAGTAAGGCATCTAGAGTACGCCAGTGTTTATACAGTAAGCTATCAATTTTGACATGCTGTGCACCATTAAAGCTGTAATTGGGGGAGCTTCCTTCTCCCAGTCTTCCTTCTGGGTTCGGGCCTCTGGGCCGCATGAATAGCCAAGCAGCCATGACGTCACTCCCACACATGGAAGTCCCACACCACAGAAAAGAGTGGGTGCCGTAAGTTACTCTGAGCTGCGCAAACAGGGCTAAGTGTACAATTCTGCTGACAAGCAGGAGTGAAGCATTTACAGCAGAAGAGACGAATAGGGTCTATTTTGCCATAAGAAAAAAAAAAAGTCAGAATTTTTGTTTAAGTTTATTACCACTTTAACCACATGCCACCCAGCCACTGTAGAAATACGGTGGCAGGGCGGCATGGCTGGGCAAATGCACGTTTTAAAACGTGCGTTTTTAAAACAGGTAGGGGGCGCGCAAGGCCCGCCGATCACAGCCGCGGATGTCAGTCGCCGGATTACAGCCGGTCATGTCCCGGCGATCGGCGGCAATCGCCGACAGAGAGCACAGCTGCAGTAGCTGTGCTTTCTGTCAGTTCCCTGACAGGTCCAGGACACGCTGATCGGGACAGAAGAGTTTCTCTCTCCCGATCAGCGGTGTTCCCTGCAGTACACACCCCCTAGTAAAAACACTCCCCTCACACAGTTAACCCTTTCCCTGAATAATAAACTTAACCCCTTCCTCCCCAGTGCCATTAGTACAGTGTCACTTTTTTTTTTGCACTGATCACTGTATTGGTGTCACTGGGGATGTCAGTGACCCCAAGTCAGTACCCCCCAATGTCAGAATGTCCGCCGCAGTCCCTCCATAAGTCGCTGATCACCGCCATAAGTCGCTGATCGACACCATTAGTATAAAAAAATTAAATAAATAAAAATCCCAGTATCTTTCCCGCCATTTGTAAACGCTAGAACTTTCACGTAAACCAATTAATTTACACGTATTGTTTTTTTTTTTTTTTTTTTTTTTTTTTTAGCAAAGACATGCCGCAGAATGCATTTTGGCAGAAATTTATAACTAAATTTGATTTTTACATTTTTTTTACTGGATATGTTTTATAGCAAAAAGTCCAAAATATTGTTTTTTTTCCCTCAAAATTGTCAGCTTTTTTTTTTTAATAGCGCAAAAAATAAAAACCGCACAGGCAATCAAATACCACCGAAAGAAAGCTCAATTTGCGGGGAAAAAAAAAAAAAAGTAAATTTCATTTATGCATCGTTTTGCATGACCGCGCAATTGACCGTTAAACTAGCGCAGCGTTGTAAAGCAAAAAAAAAAAAATGACGTAAATTGCAGTATCTATACCATAGTTTGTAGACACTATAACTGTCACACAAAGCAATCAATATACACTTATTGGGATTTTTTTTTTTACCAAAAACATGTAGCAGAATACATTTAGGCCTAAATTTATAACCAACTTTGAGTTTACTATATATTTTTTATAGCTGAAAGTAAAAAATATTGTTTTTCTTCAAAATTTTTGGCCTTTTTTTGTTTATAGCGTGAAAAATAAAAAAGCACACAGGTGATCAAATACCACCAAAAGAAAGCTCTATTTGTGTGAAAAAAAGGACGTAAATTTCGTTTGGGTGCAGCATTGCATGACTGCGCAATTATCAGTTGAATTAGTGCAGCGCCGAGTAGCAAAAAGAGGCCTGGTCATTAAGGGGCGGTAAATCCTCTGGAGGGCAAGTGGTTAAAATACACACGAAAATCCCCCAAAATGCAAAAAACACAACTTACTACACAGTCTGTTAGCTTTCCCCATTGTTCAAAGTGTTCCCTTAGGCTGTCATCTGTTGTCTCAAAACTCAGGCCACCAATAAACAGCTTCCTTAACTGTTCAGGTTCCTTAGGTTCAGGTCCCTGGATAAAAAGATTAAATTATTCATTAGTAAGCCAGTAAAGAGTTTGTGACTTTAATAAACACACCATCCAAAAAAAGTTATATAAAAACAAAAATATTCTGTTTATATCAACAGTAGAAAAAAAATCCTAGGCTTTCCCGTGCCTTTTTCAAGACAAACTAGAAAATAATTCTGGAGCTATAAACCTCACAATTTGCCCAAGTCTGAAATACTAACCACTGCAATTTTATGCCAATCACCTCAAACACTTACATTTTTTAAAGGTGGCACTACCTTAGAAAATCAAGCATGTGGCAGGTGTGTCGAGGGCTCTACCTGGCAGAGGCCTGAAGCACATCTGTACAAGCACAGTTTCCCCATGCATGTGGACAATCTGAGATCCAGGATCTCCATAACTGCAATGTCCCCACGCATGAGCAGATGTACTAAACGTTTCTGCTGGGTCTCAAAGGACAGGCAGAGCCCTTTGGCACATTTGCGCACACGTAAAACCCAGTGGTGCACATTAGCTGTGAGGCACCCAGAGCACAACGTTATACTTACCTGGGTACAAATAAGGCAAATGCTTGCTTTTTTGCATCTATTGTGAGGGAAAGTGTTGAAGCCAGTGCAAACAACTAGTTTTTGGGGTAAAGACCCACTTTAATGCAATTTCAGAGACCTAAACATCTCATAGGATAGGATTATTTGCATACATCTTACAATAAGGGGATCACCATGAAAGCCTTGCAATATTTGGAAAGTGGCAAGTCAGAATTCAGTTGAGCTTTAACATTTCATTTACTAGTGAATACTAAAAACTACAGGTAAAAGTGAATATACTTGTGTAAAGCTAAATGCCACAAATTACTCTAAAGATGTACACCACCAGAGTGCAAAGATATGTGCACATAATACAGTGGCAAACTCCAAGTGTGCAAAAAAAGTCTGTTGTGATGAAAGTTAAGCAGAGTTTGAAATCAGTTTGTATACTTACTGTTTCTTCTGAAGTCCAACATTTCTATTTCGGTACAGAAAATATATTTTACTTTCACAGAAATCCCTTAGCATATGACAAAAGCTTCCTTACAAAAAGCCAATAAAAATACACCTGAGACAGGAAGGTAATTTTCTGAAGTGTAGACATTAAGAGAGGCAAAGAGCAGTGTAGTATTGTCACTAGTCCGGCCTAACAATTTACAGCTTTCTCTGCTTTTGACTACAACCAATTTATCACAGAACTATGCGACAGTGATGCAAAGCCTCATGGCACAAGGGCTGAACTTCAAGTAGAAAAAAATATCCAAACCATAGCTAGGAAGAAACAGAGTCCCCTTATATGCAGATAAGCTGCACGTTAAGTCATCAAATGAGGGTTTCACAAACCAGCAAGCTAATCTAGGAAAAAAAGTCCTAAAACAAACTTGGGTGCCTGTAGATTACCCAGTCTGGGATGATTGTATAAAGAGGGTGGGTAAAGTGCCTTGTGCTGCATCAGGCCCATTTATGTTCACTAGCTGGTAACTACAAAGTAAGAAGGGAATCGAATCTGAAGGGCTCTTGAACATGTATTTAGTCCTTTAAACACAAGGCACCTCTTGTACAGTGCCTTTCTACAAGTAATCTTTTATGTACAGCACTCTTATAAAACACGTTTTCTGCAGCCTCTAAGCATGAACGTCTAATTTTACAATACTTTCAAACACAATTTTTTTAGAATAGCAGCAAAAGCAGGTTTTGGATAGGGTTGTGGTTACATATTCCACAGGTACAAGTGGATGCAAAAGCTGGTTGGGGACATGGAACTATAAAAATAAAAACCTAAACAAACCCCTGCTATAAAACACTGGGAAGCTGCAACAAACTAGAACCAAGATTTTTGGCTGAGATTATTCCATGCATCAAGATGTTCCTATTATGACAAACAGGGGTTGACTTTTAAGGTCACATTAAGCCCGGGTTCACACTGATGCAGTGCGGAGTTTGCACCAGTTTCTGTGTGAATTCTGCACCGCATCAAAAATCGCACCCCATTCATGCGAACCGCTGAGGATGTGTATGTTAACACCCTGAAATCAGTTCACAAAACCGCAGAATCAGATTGCATGGGTTTGAATACCCATGAGATCCTCCAATTCTAGTGCTAGGGGATAAAAAAAAAAAAAAGGGGGGGGCCTGGAAAATGTATGGTTCAAATCACATCGCACAGAGTTCGCAGAAGTGTGAGCCCAGGCTAAAGCTCATACTGGTTGCCTCATGTCAACTCATTAAATGTTTATTTTTAAAGAACAGGCTATTTTAAAATCCAGAAAAGTAAAGTGTTTAAGTAATATGGCAGCTTTGAAATGGTAAGTGTTTAAAGTGAAAATTGTCAAGACGGGCTGAAAAACCCAAGTATACTTACAGAATCTTCTGAAGATGGCCAGCGTTCCTACAAAAACACACAAAAAATTTTAAAATGAGAGAAGCCATCAATCACCCTAACAAAACTAGCCTAAGCAACAACATATTTGCCCATTAGAAGGTAGGCGCCACCTGTCAGGATTTACTCTAAACCAGTGACTGTCAACTGGAAGGATAGAGGGCCTCAAGTGTGGCCCCCGACACTTCCAGAGAATCGCACACTAGCAGCACAGAAGATTCCAGTCCTGTTGTGTTTTTTGCAATGTATTATATAACATGTTAAACTTGGAGTACAATAACCCCCCAGCATTGGTGTCAGTACGATTAATGTTAATACACATGTCAGTGGCAGTGAAAGTTACCCTCATCCCTCCCCTGCATTGGTGGGCATCGGCAGTTAAATTTTACCTGTCACTGCCATTATCTCCAATGCACATGGGTTTGACCCCCCAGATTGGTGATCATGGTAGTGAAAGTATTATACCACCCCCTCCTGTACTGTTGGGCATGACAGTAAAAGTGTCCCCCTACCTTCCCCCCTGTATTGGTGGTCATTGCAGTGAAAGCCAAGCCATACATAAATTTATTTTCTTTTGATAAACCAGCAGGGTGAAATAAAATGAATCGATTCCCCCATCCACATATTCAAGGTGGATGGGCAAATCCCTCCAGTGCAGATATTGTATTCTGACAGCGGGGAGGCTTCCCCACCTTCAGAATACACTAATCAGCACCACTGGCAATAAACAGTGGCACTGATCAGCAAAAATTTTCCAACAGGCTGGTTGTACAGAAGTTGATCGAAAGGACTTCTGTAAAACCAACCTGCCCATAGGTGGATCGAAATTCATCTGGTCCCTGCTGATCCATGTATGGTTAAAGTGTTAACCACCCTCCTTGTCTTGGTGGTCATGGCAGGGAAAGTGTTACTCCCCCTTCTGCACTGGAGGTCATGGCAGTGAGTACTTGCCCCCCCCACCCCATTTGTAATAGCTTGCCCATCTGCTCCCCTCTCTCCCCTATTGATAACTCCACCCACTGTGCAGTCTCTTAGTGGTGGCACTAGAAGATAAATACCGAGAGGGGACACAGGAAACTACTCTGTGCTAAACTAATGCACACAGCAGGTAAGGATAACATGTTTGTTATTAAAAAAAAAAAACATTTGCAACCTTCAGAATCACTTTAAATGGGATGCCTGGCTGTACAATCAACGGTTAGGCAAAACCTACTAGGAATACCCTGTATCAGCAAAAGCACTATAGCTCACAAATAATGTAGAGCGAGTCCTGAGTCGACACCCAGAGAACTCAAGGGTTTTTTTCCCTACAGAGTCAAAGTAACTTAAGGAGTAGGATGGATGGATCAACCCCACAAAGTTAGAAAGGAATGAAGAGGAGACCTAGTTCCGACGCTAGAGTCACCTGATGAGCGGAGGATGAAGCTTATGCATTCTCCCTGGCAAAAAAAAAAAAAAACAGGCACACTCCCACAAGAATCCCTACTAAAGAACCTGCTTGCCTAGCCCTGACCTCTGGTAATCGTTTTAAGAAGGCTCCCGACTCCTCACATCCATCAAACATCAGCAGTTGTGGGGCCTAGGGTTGATATACAGTATTAGCCGTACTACTATGGGCAGTAGCTTGATGGAAAAGCTCTGTATGAAAAGAACACTAGAGGATGCAGATCTGCCAAGGACAGTGGACAGGTCCAACATCAAGACAGATGGATACCTATAAGAAAGAAACCAACGTGTCCCACCTGCTGATGATCCAGGGAGGCACAGGGCTCTCCAGTGATGATCTTAGGGCTCGTTCACACTAGGCTGTTTTGCCAACGCTTGCCAAACGCCCCTATAGCGTTTGGCAAGCATTGGTCCGGCGTTTGCGGAGCGTTTTTTTTAACGCTCGGCAAACGCTCCGCAAACGCCGCATGCGCAGTTTAGCGGCGGTTGCTAGGCGTTTGCCGAGCGTTAATAACGCCCCACAAACGCCTATAATGCAGTTTGAGTGGTGTTACCGCTCCGCAAACGCCCCGCAACCGCGTCGCAACCGCACCGCAAACGCCAGCCGGGCGTTTGCGGAGCGGCACCATAGACGAGAATAGGAGGCTTCAAAGCCTCCTGACTCGTCCAGAGGCGTCCGTTTTGCCGCGACGCAAACGCTCCCGTTAGAACAGCACCATGTGCTGTAATGTGCAGAATTGGCAGAGGCGTTTGGGAAGCGGTAAAAACGCTTCCCAAACGCCTCTCTGCCGCCTGCACACAAGGCTAGTGTGAACGTAGCCTTAGGTGTGCGGCAGGCAAAGTGCATGAACCTCTACTCTCAGTCCAGAGGCCAAAAAGAACCTGTCCACAAAGCAGTGTCCTAAAAGAGGTAATAAACTCCACCCCCAAAAAAGCTTGCAAATTCATAGACTGATGGCTGCATTAGTTCTTATTAAGCACTTTTTTTTATCTGGTCATCCAACCAAAAAGCCTGTTTTTCAACAGAACAAGCTCCCCTTCAAATGTAGACGTTAGTGTTGAGACAAACCATTCACCACTGACTAGGTGCTTACAATAATCAGCTTTTATATAAAAACCTTTACCCCAAAAGAAAAAAAAAAAATGTTGCTGTTACTGCTTTTGTATCTGCAGAATGAGCTGGAGTTTGGCTGCAATTTGTTAGTGTACTTCAATCTCCTGGTGGTACTTAATACTCCCACACCCCCCCCCCCCCCTCCCAATTGACAATGCTGCTGTCCAAAGGTGTCCCTGTATTCCTTCATCAAGAGTGGAGGGACTCTAATTTCTAATACAGGAGGTATTACTGGCCAGATCACCAGGTGAAAATAGGGTAAAAAGTCTAAGAAAGAAAACTAATGCAGCCACATCTAAAGATTGGTAAGTGGAAATATTTCGCATTTTTGGTTCTGGGTTTAACAACGCTTTAAGGAAACAGGAAGGTTGACACTCATCCTGTGCAGGGATCAAACTACCTTCCCTGCTGCAGGAAGGGCTCACAATCTCCCAAGTTGTAAAAGGCACAGAAAAACCTAGATTGTGTCCAATGAATTCTGAACCAGGAAACCTGCACAAAGCAGGATACCCTGACATGAAGAATTACCGGTTACTGAACAGTCGCCCTGAGCATGATGGTTCTTCAAGACAGAGAAGAAAGGATCCCTGCCACAAAAAAAAAAAAAAAAAAAAGTCTAGAGCATAGAGGCAGACTGCTTTGAATGTTCAGAAAGGGACTTAAAGTGATTGTAAACCTTTGAAATGAAGGTATAACCTCACAAAGTGTATTCGCCTCAATCAACAGAGCCTAGTACAGTGGGCTCCATCTGAGATCTCTTTCCTCTGCAATCTGATGTGTCACTTCAGACAGTTTTTCCCAATCCCACATGGTGATGGCCCACCCCATGGACACTAGGGAAGATGCATTAATCTATGCAATAGCATAGGAGAGGTGAGAAGGAGCAGCTAAAGAGGGTACCAGAGGCAAAGGATTAGCCCATGAACCTAAAGGGGACCTCTCTACACAGAACGCTAGGAAGTACCCAAGGACCTACCAAGGTTTACAATCAGCACACCCCTACCTAGAAATTGAGGCATTCTTTCATGCAGTTTAACAATATATGAATACCCCTTGCGCTTATATGGAAGCCCTAAATAAAGCTGCTTTCACCCAACCTGACCCAACTGGTATGACAAAAAAAATATGTATACAAAATGGTGAAGCGCTCTAAAGTGAACTACATAACACAAAAATAATAAATATGATCCACACACAGTGCTCAGATACAATCTGTAACCAATCGTGACCAACTGTGAATAGTGAAAAACAGGAGGTCCTGTTTATACAAAGTAACATGTGACTTCTAAACCATTATTAAAAAAAAAAACCCTCCTGTCACAATCATGAGACTATATAATGTGTCACGTGAATCCCTTTTTGGGGACAAATAAAAAAAGTGTTAAGTGACACAAATAAATCCCCTTAACCTGTATAAATCATCAACATGAACAAAAATATTTTTTATAATGTCCAAACATATAAATATATTAGTGATCTTCCTAAAATTCATGCAAGTGATGCCGTGAAAAAGCGTGATCTTTACTCTGGTGTATAAACTCCTCAGGAATGGCCAAGATGGCCCCTTCACCTCCAAAACGTGACCACTAAGGGCCAGTACGCCTTTAGGGATATGCAACTTCCGGTGACGCACTTCCGGGCGAGGTGGCCATCTTGGTACACCTTACAAATCCATGTAGTGCACCTATATGCATGAGGATAAGAGTCTGTGTATTGGAGATTACATGCGAGTGTTAATTCTGCTTAATTCTTTATGGATTAAAAAACGTTACTGCCCCATGGAGGAATCTTTTTTGTTGCACTATTATGATCCTGAGTGGGGGTGAGCTACATTGTGGTACCTGTGTAAGGAGGGAGCTGAGCGGTGGTACTTGGAGCTTGTGTGGCATTCATATTCCTGGAACCAGTTTACATCTAGTAGGATCGGGAGGTGATCCTTAAAAGCATGCTGGCCCTTAGTAGTCACATTTATACAGGTTAAGGGGGTTTGTGTCACTTAACACTTTATTATTTGTCCCCAAAAAGGGATTCACTTGACACATTTATATAGTCCCATGATTGGGACAGGAGGGGGGGGGGGGGGGGGTTAATATTGGTTTAGAAGTCACGTTACTTTGTATAAAACAGGACCTCCTGTTTTTCATTACTGTTCACGGTTGGTCACGATTGGATACAGATTGTATCTGAGCACTGTGTATGGATCATATTTATTATTTTTGTGTGTTATGTAGTTCACTTTAGAGCGCTTCACCATTTTTATATATATATTCTTTCACGCAGGCAGCTTTTCCGAGGGCTCAGCTGGTCTCGGATTTTGAGCCCTATGAGTTGTTATTCAGCCTCTGAGGGCACAAACTGCAGAAGTGGATAGAATGGAAAGGGTGGGATTTAACTGACCTTTTCTTAGACCTCTTCACTTGAAGCAGAAGTATGCTTTGGCCTACTGTGGCATCCCTGAACACATTATCAAGTGCAAGATAAAATTACCTCCCTGAAGGCCAAGCCAGGTAGATGCTCTTTGGATGTGGCCATCAGCACCCTAACCCAGAGTGCTCTGCACATCTGTTATGGGTATTGGACCCATGAGCAACATAAGTCATCACAACTGAAGTGTGAGGCCCCAGACATCGGTTTCACATGCTCAGTTAGGGGCCTCTCCCAGTGGTGGACAGATCCTTTAAAAGGGATCCAACACAAAACACACTATATTGCCAAAAGTATTTGGATGCCTGCCTTTACACGCACATGAACTTTGGCCCACACTTTGCAGCTATAACAGCTTCAACTCTTCTGGGAAGGCTGTCCACAAGGTTTAGGAGAGTGTCTATGGTATGTTTGACCATTCTTCCAGAAGCGCATTTGTGAGGTCAGGCACCGATGTGAGATGAGGCCTGGCTCGCAGTCATGTTGGAAAAGGAAGGGGCCATCCCCAAACTCTTTCCACGAAGTTGGGATCATGAAATTGCCCAAAATGTCTTGGTATGCTGACACCTTAAGAGTTCCCTTCACTGGAACTAAGGGGCCAAGCCCAACCCCTGAAACACAACCCCACACCATAATCCCCCTCCAGCAAACTTTACAATTGGCACAATGCAGTCAGGCAAGCACTGTTCCCCTGGCAACTGTCAAACCCAGACACGTACACCGAATTGCCAGACAGAGAAGTGCAATTCGTCACTCCAGAGAACACGTCTCCACTGCTTTAGAGTCCAGTGGCGGTGTGCTTTACACCACTGCATCAGACGCTTTGCATTGCACTTGGTGATGTAAGGCCTGGATGAAGCTGCTCGGCCATGAGAACCTATTCCATGAAACTCTCTACACACTGTTGTTGACTCTGCAGACAGTTGGCGACTTCTGCGCACTTCAGCATGCGCTGCCCCTGCTGTCATTTTATGTGGCCTACCACTTCGTGGCTGAGTTGCTGTTGTTCCCAGTTGCTTTTCCACTTTGTTACAATACCACTAACAGATGACTGTGGAATAATTAGTAGCAAGGAAATTTCACAGATCGACTTACTGCACAGGTGGCAACCATCACGGTACAATGCTTGCATTCACTGCGCTAAGAGTAACTCATTCTTTCACAAATGTTTTGTAGAAGCAGTTTGCATGCCTAGGTGCTTGATTTTACACACCTGTGGCCATAGAGGTGACGAACTCCTGAATCCAATGATCTGGAGGAGTGTTCCAATACTTTTGGCAATATAGTGTATGTATTATACACACACACACACACACACACTGGAATTTACATAGGTATAGACGCTATACTGGTATCAGCAACTTAGTGGGGCTGTGATAGTGTGGCGGGCAATCCGACACTGACACTAAGTGGGAAGTGACTGACATCACCAGTGACACTAATACAGGGGTCCTCAAACTAAGGCCCGCCGAGGACATTTATCCTGCCTGCTGGCAGGGGCGTATTTGCCACGAGGATGGGACACTAAGTACAGGGGGGGCGGGCAGGGGGCTACTGTATCTTCCTGGCTCCAGGTCCCAGTCCCACAACGATTCAGTCCAGGAAGCACTGCTCCTTCATTCACTCCGGCCACTCCCTTGATGTTTGCGCTGCCGCTTGGCTCCGCCTCCTCACCGGTGATTGGGCGCCAGAACTGTAGCTCAGGAAAGGCACACAGGTGGCCAATCACCTGTGAGGAGGCAGAGCTGAGCAGCCCCGCGAACATCGAGTGAGGGAGAGGACGGAGTGAAGGACAGCTGACAGTTAAGTGTGCAATGCAGATGGTGCTGCTGCAACCAGGTATGCTGGCTGCAGCAGCACCATGCTGGAACAGGGGTCAGCAAGTTAAGTGTCACTGGGAGGAATAGCACCCCATCGTTGGTGTCACTGACACCAACGATGGGGCACTATTGCTCCCCCCCCCCACTGACTGACACCAACGATGGGGCACTATTCTTCCTCCCCCCACTGACACCAACGATGGGGCACTATCCCCCCCCCCCACTGACACCAACGATGGGGCACTATCCCTCCCACTGACACCAACGTTGGGACACTATCCCCTCCCACTGACACCAACGTTGGGACACTATCCCTCCCACTGACACCAACGTTGGGACACTATCCCTCCCCCACTGACACCAACGTTGGGACACTTCTCCCCCCCCCACTGCCACCAACGTTGGGACACTTCTCCCCCCCCCCCCCCACTGCCACCAACGTTGGGACACTTCTCCCCCCCCCCCCCACTGCCACCAACGTTGGGACACTTCTCCCCCCCCCCCCACTGCCACCAACGTTGGGACACTTCTCCCCCCCCCCCCACTGCCACCAACGTTGGGGGACACTCTCCCCCCCCCCCCCACTGCCACCAATGTTGGGACACTTCTCCCCCACCCCCCCGACACCCACCAATGCTCCCCTCCCCCCCCCCCCCCCAACTGCCACCAATGTTGGGACACTCCCCCCCCCCCCCCACCCCCACTCCCCCCCGCCACCAATGTTGGGACACTCCCCCCCCCCCCACTCCACCCCCCCCCCCACCCCCCCCCCCACCAATGTTGGGACACTCCCCACCCCCCCCCCACTGCCACCCAATGGGGACACTCTCCCCCCCCCCCACTACTGCCACCAATGTTGGGACACATCCCCACCCCCCCCCCCCCCCCCCCCACTGCCACCAATGTTGGGACACTCCCCCCCCCCCCACACACCAATGTTGGGACACTTCCCCACCACCCCCCCCCCCCCACTGCCACCAATCCCCCCCCCCCACTGACACCACCAATGGGGACACTCCCCCCCCCCCCCCACTGACACCACCAATGTTGGGACACTTTCCCCCCCCCCCCCACCCCCCCCCGACACCAAAGATGGGTGCACTATTCCTCCCACTGACACCAAAGATGGGGCACTATTCCTCCCACTGACACCAAAAGATGGGGCACTATTCCTCCCACTGACACCAAAGATGGGGCACTATTCCTCCCACTGACACCAAGATGGGGCACTATTCCTCCCACTGACACCAAAGATGGGGCACTATTCCTCCCACTGACACCAAAGATGGGGGCACTATTCCTCCCACCACTATTCCTCCCACTGACACCAAAGATGGGGCACTATTCCTCCCACTGACACCAAAGATGGGGCACTATTCCTCCCACTGACACCAAAGATGGGGCACTATTCCTCCCACTGACACCAAAGATGGGGCACTATTCCTCCCACTGACACCAAAGATGGGGCACTATTCCTCCCACTGACACCAAAGATGGGGCACTATTCCTCCCACTGACACCAATGATGGGGCACTATTCCTCCCACTGACACCAAAGATGGGGCACTATTCCTCCCACTGACACCAAAGATGGGGCACTATTCCTCCCACTGACACCAAAGATGGGGCACATTTCTTCCCAGTGACACCAATGATGGGGCACGTTTCTTCCCACTGACACCAACGATGGGGCACTATTTCGCTCCATAAGACACACTTGGGGGGAAATGTCGGTGTGTCTTATGGAGCGGCCGGCCTAGTATTCCCGCCGCCGTTGTATGTCCGCAGTCTCTGGTCATCTCCTGTACTGTGTCCACATTTGTTCAGTTTTTTTTTTTTTTTTTAAAACTATAGTCCGGCCCTCCAACAGTCTGAGCGACAGTGAACTGGCCCCCTTTTTAAAATGTTTGAGGACCCCTGCGCTAATACAATGATCAGTGCTAATATTATACACTGTCACTGTACTAATGACACTGGCTGAAAAGGGGATAACATCTAGGGGCAAAGGGTTAACTGTGTACTTAATGCGTAACATGCGGAATATGTGCTGCTTTTTATGAAGTGATTGTTGCTCTCTGGTCAAAGTCACATGTCCTTAGTAAACACAGGCTCTGAACGGTCATTTGCTAAGCCGATCAGCAGGTCCCAGCCACTAGTCCTTGGCTGGGACCTGCTGATCACCTTGTGTTGTAGAAAATGACAGCACAGAAGGGGCAACGTGCCCCCTACCCGTAAATACCAGATCCTGAACGTGATCTGGCACAGCGGGGCTGCTGCGCCACAGTAAAACTGCGTTAGGCGGTCAGGAAGTGGTCAACATACAAAACACAGAGGGCAATTTTCTAACATTTAAAAGTAGGCAAAACTCCCCCAATTGTGTTCAATTTTAAAGAAAGGGGTATAACCCATCAGGTGTGTTCCCATCTGTGCCTCATTGGGGAGATATACATTCACTTCCTGTATCACAGCCAAAACAGAATGTGAGGAAAATCCTCCAAAGTGTGGGAATCTCCTCACATCACCAGAACTAGTGTCCCCATCGGAAGATTAACCCCTCTTCTCCTTATCTGGTGACAACCTAAAAATATGGGATTTTATTTATCTTATTTGGTTTTAAAGATGAAGTTAAGTTAAACTTGCTCAATTGCTGGAACAAATACAACCAGCATGTAAAAATGTTGGCAATGTGATTTATCCATTTCATTTAGCAAAATGTGCCCATTTCCAATGAAAACAAAAAGTTGGCTGCAACTGCACTCACCCAGAAATGTTACAGTAGCCATTTTAACTGAGGGCAACTGAAGCCAGCACACATTTGCTTCCTAATAATTCAGCTGCTTTTCCACCCTTCACAGTCAAAACCTTGCATGCGCAGTAGGATGGCGTTCACCTTGCCTGTTGTCTTGCCCTACTTCAGATCTTCACTCTCAATTAAATCTCATAAGGCCTCACGCACACAGCATGTTTTGCAGACTTTCCTACAAGCCTTTCCTCCTGACAGCAGCGTTTTGGCAGAAAAAAAAAAATGCCTGACGCTTGTAAAAGTGCCTAATTCTTTTACAAGCGTTTACAGGCATCAAGCGCTTGGATGTCAATTCATTTCATTGGCCAGAACAAAATTAATGCTCAAGTGCTAAACTCGCCTAGTGTTAAAGTGGAGCTCCTGTCAAGCCTAAAAAAAAAAAAAATCTGCATCTAAAAAAAACTGTAGTTGCTGATTTTTAAAAAAACAGCCATTCACCTGTCCCATAATCCAGCAGTACCTTCACCACAGCCAATTTCACTGACCGTCCTCGCTCCACGGCATCCTAAGTGTGGGCACCCGGCTATGACAGCTTGCGGCTTCACAGCCAGGTGCCCACTGAGCATGTGCGAGTAGCGCTGTGCCTTGTGAACGGTCCCATAAACTTCTGTCACGTGTCCCAGAAGACTATGGGAAGGAGAGAAACCAACTTCTGCTTCCGATCACCTAGGGGGTCGCAGCGGAACAGCGGGTACCTGCTCCTTAAAGGTGCCAAATGTGTTAAGGTGGAGTTCCACCCAAAGGTGGAAGATCCGCTTATCTGCCACCTTCCCACTCTGCTGCCACATTTGGCACCTTTTGGGGGGGGTATCTGGTTTTCACAGGTACCTGCTCCCACTTTTGACTCGCCGTGCCACACTGAGCCATAAGTTGGGGCTCCCCTGCAGCCCACTGGGATATTTCACATCCCAGACAACTGTGGCCCATTCACAAAGTGCAGTGCACTTCACGCATGCGCAGGAAACCAGCTGTGAAGCCACAAGTCTTCACAGCTGGTTTCCCTTAGTCAAGATGGTGGCGCCAGCACTCGGCAGCCAACTGAAGAATCGGCTCGGGGTGAGGAGACTGCTGGACCTAGAAAACCAGAGGATGACCAAAACTTAAAAAAAAATAATAATAATTTACAGAGAAAAATATAATGCTCCGTTAGAGAATTTACTTTTAACCACAAGCCTACAGGACACTTATACCCCCTTCCTGCCCAGGCCAATTTCCAGCTTTCAGCGCTGTCACACTTTGAATGACAATTGCGTGGCCATGCAGCACTGTACCCATATGACATTTTTATCATTTTTTTGTGACAGAGCTTCCTTTTAGTGGTATTTAATCACCTCTGGGATTTTTTATTTTTAAATAAACCAAAAACCACTGAAAATGTAAAAAAAAAAAAAAAAAAACAAAAAAACAAAAACACAAAACGTTTTTTTTTTTTCTTAGTTTTTGTTATAAAATGTTGTAAATAAGTGATTTTTCTCCTTCACTGATGTGCGCTAATGAGGCTGCAGTGATGGGCACTGATGGGCATTGACAGGCAGCACTGATATATGGCACTGACTGGCAATACTGACGGGCACTGATAGGCAACACTGACTAGAAGCACTGATAGGTGGCACTGAAAAGCAGCTCAGAGGGGCACTGATGTGTGGCATTGATGTGGCACAGATGGGCATTGGCAGGTGGCATGGATGAGCACTGACAGATGGCACTAACAGGTTGCGCTGCTGATCATCAGGGTACTGATGATCAGTGTACATGTTCCCTCCGAAGAATGCTGATTACCGGCTCTCCTCTCCAGCTGTCAACGTAACGGCTTGCGAGGAGAGAAATGCCGATAACCGGCATTTCCCTGTTTACATGCGACCAGCTGTGATTGGACACAGCTGATCACATGACCGAGCTGACATCTTCGGCTCTTTCCGTGGATCAGTGATCCGCTGTGTCCGAGGGACACAGCGCACCGCCGCGCACTCCCGGAGCCATGCATGCATGCACGGTGAGAATGGGAGGACGTCATACAACATACTCCCAGAACGAGAGAACCGCCTTGCGCCCCGTCATTGGACTATATGGCGGGTGGGAGGCGGTTAATAATACTTTAACCCTTTCTTAGGGCAAAGTGTTCAACTCTAGATTACACCTTGATATTGAAGATCTGCCTGCCCAGTATTACAGGGCAAACATCTAGACAGCCACCCCTAAATACAAAGATTTAAAAATTCTGCAGTTTTCAGGAAAAAAAAAAAAATCTGAAGTTTCTATCCCCCCCCCCCCCCTCAAGTTATGCTATATGAATGAGACATAGAAATGACCCCAAAGCGGCTTCAAAACCGGCAATACACTCAGCTGAAGAACAGACAGCAGGAGGATTTACAATGATAGAGGGGAAAGACTGAAGTGTTGGGTTACTGAAATGTTACGTTTTTTCCCATTTAAAGCGTGTGATCATATGGTGGGGTCTCTCCATATCAGGGGCGCACAGTGCAGACGCTCTCCTGTGATTAAATGAAAGCTGCACCCCCCCCCCCCTCCTCACACACACAAGGTCAGCCCTCCGCGCTCAGGTTTCAAGTTCAACCGCCTTCCATTTTCTTCTTCGCTCATTTCCTGGCAGCTGCCATTTGCAGAGTGCGGGGGTGGGTGGGGGTAGGAGGAGCCATCCCACTCATAGTAATACTGGCCACACACATCCAGTACATCCCAGAACCTGCCAGCTCCAGGATATGCCAGGATTTACACCACCCGGCCTGGAGAACCACCCTCCGCCTCCATAGGTGTTGTGGCACTACAAGTCCCAGCATGCTTACAGCAGCCAGGTTCCGATTGCCCCTTATTAGCCTTGATAGGTGACACTCAAACCTTCCACTGCTATGCAGATACAAGAGACCCAACAAGGAGACCATGCAGCCCAACAGGGGCCATGGTAGAATCCCAGCACCTGGACCCCCTCCCCCATACTAGTGATAGGACCAGGCACACGTAGCCCAGACCTGCAGGTACAGGCACACCCCAAAAAGACTCAGCCGCATGGCATGCTGGTACTTGTAGTGCTGCTGTATTGGCCTCTAACCACTCAGAGGTGTGTGGAACTGAAAGTCCCAGCATGCCCTGCCAGCTACCCACTACATTGGGTGCCTCCCTCCAGCCTTACATAACCCTCATCCCTCCCCGGCTTTGGCGCTCCTTCTGTGGAGAGGCCGCGGCCTGCACACACCACGCTGCCCGGCCCCGCCATCGATGGCGCGCCAAATGCGACTGACACAGCAGCCCCGTCCGCTATTACACGCACTGTGGCGGCCCCGCTTATGTAGACGGTGTCACTTACATCCATTCCGGGCCGAGGCATCACTCTGAGCTCGCTCTACTATTGCCGCCGCCGTCGAGGAGAACAGAAAGAGGAAGGCGGGGGGCACGTTCCCGCTTACGTGACACACGTTCCACGGCGACCCGCCCACCGGCTCCATCTTCCATCCCCAGGTACCAATCACAGCAGCTGTAGTGTGGTGACGTGTCCAGTACTACAGCCTGCTAGGCCGCGCCAGGCGTGTGTGGGAGGCCAGCATGGCGCCGTCCTTAGGCTATACACAGTAAAATATACCTTTTATATTCATCACTCCAAACTGCCTTCATTTAGGCCTCATTACACTGAGTGCTCGCACAGCTTGTCTACACGCCTTCCTCCCGGCAGGAGAACAGCAGCATCAAGATACATGAAGCCACGCAAATGTGTTCAAGAGTTCCGCCCAAAAGTGAAATCTCCGCTTATCTGCCTCCTCTGCTGCCACATTTGGCACCTTTTGGGGGGAGAGGGAGCAGGTACCTGGTTTAGGGAGGCACCCGTTCCCACATCCGGCTCAGTTTGCCAGGGCAAACTAGCCAGAAATTTGGGCCCCCTGCAGCCCTCTGAAACACTTCA